AACCCTAAACCCAAGTAGTGATAAGAAACCGAAACCCAAGAAGACCGCCCTCTGAAGCCCTCCTATGCCCCCCCTGAGGACCTAAACCCGATCCGTTTGCCTCCCGCCTGCTCCTAAACCCTAAACTCTAAACCCGACTGCGGTTTAGGGTTTAGGGTTTAGGGTATAGCGTTTAGGGTTTATAGGGTTTAGGGTCTAGGGTTTAGAGTTTTGGGTTTAGGGCTTTTGGTTTAGGGTTTTATACCGCCCTCACGGCCCCCTGCATCCGACCTCCTCCTCGATCACTGGAACCGGGCTCACCTCCATGGCGGTGGCCCATCTTCGAGGGTTCTAGGGCTTTTTAGGGTATATTAGGGTTTAGGGTTTAGGGTTTCGGGTTTCGGGTTTAGGGTTTCGGGTTTCGCGTTTAGGGTTTTGGGCTTCAGGAGTTAAGGTTCATAATTTTTCTAGGGTATACCCGTAGGGCTGTAGACGTTTCGACTCTCGCAACTCTCGCAAGGCAGGCCCTAAAGCCTAAACTCTCTCTCTCTCTCTTTCTCTCTCTCTCTCTCTCTCTCTCTCTCTCAGGCATTCCAAACCCTAAGACCTAAACCCCAAATCCTACACCCTCAAGCCTAAATCCTAAACCCTGATAACCCTAAACCCTAAAACCTAAATCCTAATACCCCTAAGCCCTAAATCCTGATACCCCTAAATCCTAAAGCCTAAACTCTAATAGCCCTAAACCCTAAAACCTAAATCCCAATACCCCTAAATCCTAAGTCCTAAACCCTAACAACTCACTCACTCACTCACTCGCATTGCAGATGTCCGGAGCGTCTAAGCGTGCAGGCCAAAAATGGGTGGTGCTGTGCACCCATAGCCGAGAACTAACAAACGAACAGAAAGCAGCGACGGAAGACCCAGGGCGAACTTCACGACTTAGTCGCGGTTCGGCGGCCTGGTGCTATACACAAAGGTCGCTCGAAGAGGAGAACAGGCCTTTGACGTTGGATACGGGCTGCAAACACGGAAAAGATGGGCTTTCCAAGGAGATGCAGCAACATTGTGGTGCACAGCCGCAAAAACAGGGCCGGCCGGAGTACGAAGACTGTACAATACAACGCTCGGCAAGAGTTTACCAAGCAGATCGCGTCCGGCCTTACTCGGATAACTGTACATCCAGAGCAGACCACCAGCAGCGACACTCATACAGGCTAGCCGAAAAGAAACTGTGGCAGCAAGTAAGTCACTCAGAGCCGTAGAGGGGCCTTGTACGGCAGGAGAGCTAGATGCAGCCCGAAGCGCGCCAAAAGCCGAGCGTGTATCGCAGTGCCAAGGCATGTTAGCCTCCAGCGCAGACCAGAGTCCCCAGAATCGGTGCCAACCGGAAGGCAATTGCCAAGCAATGCCAGGGGCCAAAAGACCCGGCCAGTAAGGCGAAGGGATGGAGATGCCATCTGCAAACGCAGCATCAGCAGCGGACAT